AAAATTGGCATAACTACATGTTTCGCATTATTTCTTTCATGTAAGTACCTTAAGTAGAAAACATTTTATTTGTGCTTCAGTTTTGTTAATGGTCGTAGTGAAAACGTCAGCGACAGTTATTATAACTCGTGGTTCTTTTACTGATTTTTGTTTGCTTAAGAATGCTTGAAGCAAAATTTTCCAGAATACTTTAAACTGCGCCTCCAAATCTATTCCTCTGAGTCTTCAAAGCCCGATGTTTATTAAAATTAACATAATGGAAGAGAGAACTGATACTTTGGTTCTCAATTATGTAATTTATTTCCGAATTCTGTGCAAGAATGGAACCAAATCATTTTTACAAGTGTAGGTTGTATTTCATTGATAGTTGCTTGCATCGGACTTGAAAATTAATTAGCTCCATTACTCTTTAGGGAGTAGAATTGCGTAACAACAAACCACTTCGATTCCAAGAGCGTCTGAATGGCCCATTCATTCAAGTCATTAAATAATAGAAAAACGGTATAAATATGTGCATTATACAGTCAAAACGATTAATAAATAGAAACCACGTTCACAGATAATCATTAATAAGAAACCCACACATGCGAATCGGATATTAAAATTTACCCGTAATTAATGATCGTTATTAAGGACTCTCTATACACTTATTCTTTTTAAGGACAACGATTGCGTTGTGATTTATTAATGGAACTTTACATTAACCTAATATTTTACATTTGGCTATTTGAAAACCAATAAGCATATCTATGCGTTACTCAAATTTGTTAATCGCCGGAACGCGCAAATTCCCATCATTATTAATAGGGTTTTATACAAATAGTTAATTTATCGTTGGTAAGTAGCCTATTACACATTCTTCCATACTCAGGCTGCTGCTTGTTAATGTAATTAAAGAGGCTGATATCAACGGAAATAATAATTTATTACTGTTGGCGTGTGAAAAGTATTGGCTTAAAATACAGAACTGGTAAATCGATTGATTTATGTTTTTATTATCACTTGATTCACGATTATAAATGATTGCTTCAAATAATCTCTTTTAAATTATTTAATTTTATTTAATTTAAATTTAATTTTTAAATTTTATCGGTTTATTGAAAGATCATTTAAAAATTGAAACTGGATTTTATCAATAATGACAATTTTTATAATAGGTCTAGTTGTTCTCCACATCGTGCAAGATTAGGTACGACCTTTTTCAGAATACATTCATTTTTTTTTCAATAAAATCAACTCAACTTTAATAGTTGTTGGATAAACTAAAACTTTTACTGTGCGTATATGTAGACCTAAAATATTAAATTTATTTCGATCTTTTTCAGGTTGAGTCACCTATTGTCACTTCGCACAACTCCAGTTGTAAGTACTTCCGTTTTAATCTGGTTATTTAATTTTCTACCTCTCGATCGAAGCGCTAAGACAGGCAATTTTCTTTTTGCTTTCAAAAAATGATTTCTTCCAAATGATGTTCGCGAATAGGATTAACAAGCTACAGACAAAAAAGGATTTAAAAAGGGGAGTGCTTTCAAGCTGCATTTGCCGGAAATACGCAAAATCATTTGGCGCCTTCCGATTGACAAACGACTTAATCAGATCAAGGCGACTTTGGCGCTCGAAGTTGGATGGTTTTTTACACAAAAAATTGACATCGTCGTGATTACTGGTAATTCAGCACTAAGTTTGTTTATTTGCATTTTGGCAGCCACAAAAAGTAGGCAACATTAATTAATTACAGATGCATTGATACAATTTTCAATTGCTACCGGTTTTCAATTCAGTTTTTAAATAGTTAGAAAGGTTATAAAATAAATGCGTCAAAATCATCTCTAGAAGCGTGAAGGGTTTCTATAGATTTTTGAGATCGATGGTAATATTTAGGAAAAAAAGTATAGAAAAGTTTTTTCTTTCTCTATATATAGATATATATATTTGTCATTAAAATTTGCGGGAGCAAAGTTCATAAAATTTGATATGAAGTCCATGATAAGGTCAACCTAAAATGCCATTGAGCACATCCAATTTATAGGCCGCTGTTCAGCATTCTATATCTTTAAAGCATAGAAAATGGCAGTAAATATCAACGATATTCAATCGTTTCAAGCAATGATATTTGCATGGCATTTATACATTCACGATGGAAACTAGGAAATTGGTTTTACTTAATTATGTGTACAGTTGATTTATCAACAACCATTTACGATTTTCAATGAATTTCCCGTTCGTCGTTCTTAGCGTTATTAAGCAGTGCAAAAATAATTCCAGATTCGTTGATATTTTTTTTGTGGAGAGTTAAGTGATCTACAGATTTCTAGTTTTTTACAATTTTATTTTCAACTTCCAGAGGTGTTTGGTTTGTCAGTCATTTTGTAGTTGTGACTAATTTGTACTTAAAACTATTTTGAAACTTTCGTTGTCTCATTCTGCGCTTTCATGAATACATTTTCAGGTAGCGAAATTATATTAAGACTTTTATGTGACACGTAAGTACACAGCGGTAGATTCAGAACATTCCATTCCAGAACAGAAAAAGAACCATTTTAATCATTACGAAGTATAACAACTTACACAAGACACATTTGCAGACCTAGAGAAGCACATGTTATTTTGTGCACAGTTTTGTTGAGGAGAGATTTGTTTTATCCAAAGACAATTTTCTGTTTGTAAAAATGAGAATTTCTTTAACTTTGAATTAGAAACTACAGCTTATTTGTAGTTTGTTTTCAAAGTTGACTCTTCAAATCTTATTATGTTTAACAATGACAAACATGCTTCCAGTTCACCTCCCCTTGAAGAGCTTTTTAGTAGGTGATGTTTCTTGCATGCAAAACGCCCGAAACTAGTTTGCTGTTGATTAAAGAAGAACTGAAAGTAGGTTCAGGGGATCTACTGATAACATATTGAAGGTGCGTACTGCCATAAAGCATCGATTTAGAACGTCTTGAGCGTTCAAAAGCTTTTTTTTCAAATGAGCAAGAAAAAATAGAGTGGCATAAAATGGGGAGAGCGACGTGGCCAAAAAATTTCGGAGAATTTGGAATTCTTTTAGTATCACTCCATCAACTGCAATTTTGAGAAGAAACAGTTCTATTTGATGAAAATTATAATTTATTTGGAAAAAATATGTATTTCCGTAAATGTTTCGCAGCTTCTAAAATTACTTGCCTATCACAAAATAATTCTAAGAGTCCAATCAGGATCGTATGGTATTAACGTATGAATAAAGTGAGGTTTGTACTGATGCAATCTGTTCTTTTTTTTTATTTTGAAACCGTATCTTCCTTAATAGAATGTATATATTTTTAGGATGATCGATTGTTTATAGGATTATTTCAAATTTGATGTCATCATTGACATACCGTTGTTGGTAAATTTATTACTTACATCAACAAAAGTTTTGAATTTCCTTAATAGTTTCCTTACATCTCCATAGTGGAATATTTTTTCTGACTGTCGGTTATTAAGAATTTCTGCAGCTTCTTGATACGTTTCATAATTGTCACCCACAAATCACACAATTGAAATTAAGATTTTTGGAAAACCGCCTACACGACTGAAAAAATGTAATTTCTGATGGTTGTATTTTAAAACATGTAAAACGTTTTATAAAGGAAATCAAATCTCCTTGTTATATATTGTATATATTGTATATGTTGGCAACTTGAGTAGACACACTGTATAGAATGTTAAAGACCCTGAAAGGCAAGTTGGTTTTTTAACGTTTAAAAGATGCGAAAGTATCTAAAATCTTTTCCATTCGTCTCAATATAAAAACTTATCTAATTTATAAATAAATAGATTACTAATGCAGCTGCTCCTTATATTAATTTAAATTATTTGCAAAAGCAACAAAACGAAACAACCCGAGGCTTGAGCTGTTGTAACAAATAACCTTACCATATATAGCACGCTCTTTCAGCAGCTCATATATAATTTCAAATTTCTATACGATATTTACCCGATAAATGGCTGTAGATAAGAAGCGCATTTCCATCGGCATGCAATAAGTCTTGAATTCATCTCGTACAGGAGCCATATCATTAGGTACCTATATCGTATTGAAATCATTTTGTGAGCGCTTAAAAACCTATTCGAACGCGTTTATAATTTAATTTATCGAAGCACCTCATTATCGACCTCTTAAGCATCTAACGAACCAATCAAGAATATGGGCTGGTACATACCAGCACGTATACAGCGCACATTTTCCTGTCTTAAGACCTGCATGGGTTAATTAGGGTAAATGTCAATTTCCTGTAAGGCGGGAGTGACCCACCCCCCGACTGTAAAGTTTGCTTCGGATACATTTACATACTGTCGTTGAAGATGACCGTTGTGCAGTGGTCTAAATAACTCAAAACTGGCTAAAACAACTAGAAAATCCTTAATTTCGTGGATATTTGTCATGGATTTTTCAGCATCCAGTAGTAGAAGTTGAAAAACGCACTCCTAATAGACTGGCCATTTTTCATTGCATGTAACATATTGCCCACATAATTTTTCTTAGATGTTTTATTAATGCAAAATGCAAATTACACATAACGAAAAGTTGCTGTCCAACAGAACCCACACAACACAAATATTTTGCTAAATTGACGGCGTACAAAAGATGTTGCTGATATTAATTGAACAAATTAAGTTTCTTCACACCATCTTAGGCCTGGATAACACTGGGTTGAGTTGCTTTATTTGGGCGTTGTGCATTAATCACTGCAGCTGAGAGAAATTCAAATAACTATAAATGGCTCTAAATTTTAAATGAAATTAGTGAAAAATCGGCACTTGGAGCGTTTTTCGTTTAGTCGCAGTTGACCTTCGTTAAGTGACAACGCGAAATTTGCCTTTGTAAATATTGCAATGCGAACACGCACTTTCTACAAAAATGTGAATGATAAACAAATTGAAATAAAACTGCCAAGTAAATCATGAATCAAAGAGAGGGCGAACCAATTTTTTTTTTCGAAAAGTGTATGAATGTTCAGTTTGCTACCGATAGTAGACGAAATCAGTCAATAATCGCGTTCTTAGATGGGTAATATAGAATAATTGTGGCCCTTATGGCAAGTGGGGTAATGTGTGAAAGTAGAGTTAACTTATGGGCAGCAAATGGAGGATGGGCCAGCTTGCAAAAACCTGGTAAGAATGATCTCTAATCTATAAATATTTTAGCTTGAACTGAGTTTAGTTTTCCGACAAGCAACTGAATTTTTATGAATTCTTTAGACTTTCCTCTTCTCGATTTGCTAATTTCAAATAAGATTGGCTTTGGACATATTTCCTGCTGTATTAAACCCATTTTCTTTTTTCTTTCCAGGTGGCACTACGCAGCTTTCGGTAAGATTAGCATTACTTTGCCGCTGGTTGCCATGTACCTACATGTAGAACTTTTAGTACCATATTTATGAACTACGGTGGATTTGGTATCGATTCAGCTATTGGTTCTTTCGTAGTTTATTTTTAAACTTTGCAAATATTTTCGGCGGGTTCGTATTTTTATATTAAGCTCATCTGAAGCTTTTCGCTAGAGAACCGCTTCAGACATGGAAATTTGGGTTCCAGAATTCAATACAATGAGTATCGGCTTACTGATATTGTGGATTTGGTTCCGATAAAACCATTGATTCCTTCATAAGAAATTTTTAAACCTTGGGAATATTTTGGGAGAGCTAGTATTTTTGGCAAGCTCATCTCCCAGGAACTGTGTCAAATAAGCAAATATGGGTTCCAGTTTTATGTTTTTTTTTTGTTAAAAAAGTCAACAGTTTTAGTTTTGCCAGGTTTTTTAAATTGCGAATCGATTGAAAGATGACGCCACCTTTTTAGACGTTGCTCAAGAAACATTTAAGCCACAGAGTTCGTTGTTATATCTTTCGATAGAGAATTGGTAATTCGATCCAGTTATAACAACGTGCGTGAGTAAACTCTGCTGGATTTGCCACAAAAAGTCACACGAAATTTGAATGTCAGACATTTAGAAGCAAGTTTTACCCAAAATTTAATTTAAAAAAACTTCTACATAATGTCAATATTTCAAGTTCCTGCTGGCTTTACTTTGGAATTTGGCATTTTTTAATGTAGGGAGTTGCGTAAAAGCGTTCATTTTCAAATCAACATTTACGAAGCGCGCAGAATTAAGGATTTCATGCGATTTCAATTAATTTTGGAAGGTTTAAAGGAATTTTGATGCCATTTAGAGCACAATCTACTTTACTGAAGGTACAACTTTGAACTTTTAGAGTATTTTTCGATTCTGAGAAATTCATTTTCGAAAAACGCGATTCCAAATGTTTTTCCGCAACAGACTTAAAGCTTTACGAGGTCTGGGGCTGGAATTTCAACACCTCCAACAAAAACAAGGTCACCACATTTTTTAGAATCAACTTTACCAAATGAGTGACTGAAACGCAACTGCCCCGGTGAGTTACTGTGTCGGTGCGTTGGGTTGGCGCAACAAGCCATTTAGGCAACACTGTGCAACTCTTGACATTAACTCAGTTACCCATGCCTACACCATCTGGCTAACGACACTGAGAAGTTACTTAAACCACAACACGCTTGTTTTTTAAATTCGAATCACAAGAGTAACACCAAGACTTCCATGATCTTGGAATAATTTGAAATTATGCATAAAATGATGATAGCAGCAAAGACGAATCAGACTGAAAAAAATCCATCAAAAACAAAGAACGCGGAACTATTTACCGTCATTACATTACCACTTATTATATCTGCAAGTAAATTAAAATTAAATATACATAAAACAAAAGTGAATATAAATTAGAAGATATTACGAGAGCCTCGGAAGACTCGTGCAAAAGTCTCGATCTTGCAAAACCATAGTCTTCCACTGCGGAAGACGGTTTTGGACTTTCAGTCTTTTCGTCTCCCTAGTGTAGGGGTTACAGTTGCTGGCGGCTGCTTAAAATATTCCAATGAAATGAAAATACTAAGGCCGGAAAGAAATTTCAACTTGAAGAATTTTTAGAAACGTCAACTGTAGATTGCAAGGGTGCAGCAAGAAATATTTCCTCAGACGAGTGATCAAACCATCTTTTTATGAGTTTAAGTAGTTTGCGTCGTTTTTCTCTCATCCGTCCCCCATAAAGGGTATTTTTCTATCTTTGAGGCTCTTTGCCAATTCCTTTATTGTTATCTTATTCATTTTGCCAAATCAGTTCGTCACAAAAAGACCGAGTATGCAAACTTTGCAAAGAAGCATATATTTTAAAATATGTTGTAGGGGTTTCTTATCATAAGCATGTAAGCAGTTCGAGATTTCGAGAAAATTAATTTTAATAGGTAATGGTGTAAAATTTTGAAGATTTTTGATTGGCTAGTTGAAATAGATAAATTTCCAATCACTTTCTAAATTTGATTAACCATTTTTCTTTAGAAGCTACTTTTTCACATATTTCTATTGAAAGTTTGGCGGAATTTAATCAGTGCAGTTCTCTAAGAAATGGTTTTAAAAAAGTATTTCATGTGTTAACTGATATCGCGACCACAATGTGGTAAATACGAAAAGACATTCAATATGTGAAGACATTATGCATCCCATGGATAAAATTACTACAGAAATCATCGCAAGAAAATGCAACTTTTTCCTTGCAATTTTTTAACATGTGGACCCCAAAAATATGTTCTCCTCAAATCTTGTTACATCATTTTGAAGATAAATAATATTTCTGGTGTTGGACCACTGTGTGTTAAGCAGCGGTCAACCGATGGACACCTGCTTTACATGTATCGCTCAGCAGATGATCGTATTCATAGGTTTAATTTTATAGCTAGAGTACGGAAGACGTCAAGCGATCATTATCATTACCATTGCTTTCGGGCGTATGAGTAAAAACATACGCAACATGTTTCACTTGTAATTAGATTTTAATTATCTCGCTCAAGTCGAATCGTCGTAACAGTTTAAACATATGGCAAATCAATTGGGATGTTACTACTCATGTGGACTGTAATTTATTTTAAAGCGTAAACGCTTTGCAATGGGGTTCGCTGTCGGTTGAATTCAACCAAGTTCGTTGGAAACCCAGTGGGATATTATAACACTGGAGCTTGAAGATGGTTATATTAATTCTATGACTCGAAGGAAGTTCAGTTCCCACAGTATTCGTTTCTACCCAGTGTCTGTGTCTGGATCAAATACTGTCGTAGCTTCAAGTTTCAGGGTGATCGTAGAAGGTGCAAATTTTTTTTTTCAATAGACTTGGACGATTTTTTGCGTACAATAACATATTAGGAGTTTTTTGTATGCAACCGAAGTTGACAAAATCAAAGCAAAGAGTGAATAGATTCAACCCTCAAACACCAAATATTATTCAACACTCGACGTCGTATTAGAGAGTTGACTTTAAATAGAAGGTTGACGTGGCTTCTCTTGAACTCTAGAGAAAAGCCGATGAGAAAATAATTGTGATGTTTTTAAGCTGCGAGTGTCTAGAGAATGAATCACGATTCTGAACCTATTCTGCTTTATGCATTAAAAGAACTGTTGCTGTGTTTGGGCCCCGTTCAGGAACTTCGAAAACTCCTGCCCAAACACTTTTTCATTATATTAACTTTGCCAGGTAATTCATGACAAAAAAACCGAATATGCAAATATGCAAACTTGGTTTTGAAAGTCTGTTGTAGCTCTCCTTATAACAAGAATGTTTCTTAGGTCAAGTTTAAAATTCGTTTTCAAAGGTACGACTTTTTAACAGTTTTCGAATGGTCTGTTGAAATGGATACATGTACACTAACTTTCTCCAAACTGAGCTTTCAGTTTAGTTTAATTAACCATTTTTTCTTTAAAAGCTACATCTTCACATTTATTTTTGAAAATTTGGCGAAATGATATTTCTTCTCAGTTTCTGGGTCGGTGGAAAGGAAGGGGATATGAGATATAATATTTATGCTTTATGCGGGGCCATCACTATCGCGAGAACTGATTACGGGCAACTTTTTTTGCAGGTTGCGCTTAAAGGGAAAATTGAAAGTTTTCGTATGTTTCCAACGAAGGTTAGTTACGTTTACATACGTTTTACAAGCAACTAAACAATGCAACAACACTAAATTACTGAATGCAGAATTTCAAATTAACCTTTACTTCTGGTGTTCTGGAATGTCGCAAATCGTCTCCTTCCATTGAAAAGTTTCAAAAACTAAACGATCAAACGATTTGACTAAAGTTAATAAAAGTAAGCCAATTTATTGTTTGGAACTGTTTTTGACGCCTTGTATGTTTAACTCAATATCCAGTAGCATCTAGCACTAGCAGGATCATTCTAGCAATCAAATGATACTGATGATATTGAACTGAAGTGAATAAAATTAAGTCAACCTACTGTTTGAAACTGGTATTTTTCGGACGTCTTGTATGTTTAACTCAATTAATTTTAAATGAGCTGACCAACGTGTCGCTATCAACGATCAGTAGTAACATAAATGATTTATATCATTGCTTGTCGCCTCGTTTATCGCATTCAGAAACATAACAAAAAAATTGGCGATTTATAACACACCGGGCAGCTACTGCAGTAATCTCTCATTTTTCGCGGGGCAGTCTAGTTGAAATGAACGGCCTTCTGATTGCAAATGCGAAATTATGCAATGTCGTCCGCGTTGTAGAAATGTATTCAGCCTTGGAAGATTTATTGTAAACGCGTTTGTCGTATTTTCTCCACTGGATGGCTTAAATTAGCTTAAAAATGCGAAAATATCCGATCTATGCTGGGTGGGCCGCAGCTTCTGATTGAAACCTGTCGTTTGACTAACTATTTATTTTTTATATGGCTATATAAATACAGACAAAAAAATGTTAAATAGCGGTGATATTGTACAATTACCAAAAATGGGCCATAGACTTAGTTCATTTCTCTGAATGGCGGTGCACATAACCGTTTACTAATTGTGAACAAAGAGTGTAGATTAACACTAGCAAGTCACAGTAGTTATAAAAATTTACAGTAATTTAAAAACGATAACTTCTGGACAAGATATTGAGCTATTTTTTTATGTTTTTTTGAACAAATCGGTGCTGTTTATTGCTTCCTCATAAAATTCATCCTATCATCATCATTAAATTAAGTGTTTACATTTAGTAACAGCTTTTTAACGCCGTTCTGAAATTAGGGGTTTGAAGAATCCAACTCCACATTCATATTATATTACATACTTTTAATACGGTAAGAGAATCGAGTAAGAGCAAGACAAATTTTCATACGTTTTGCATTTCTAAAACTACGTTAACTATTGAGTATTGTACACATTAAAATTAGGTATTACAGTTCACAGTTTAATCCCATTCCTAAATCTGGACTAAACATTATATGATACATTCT